TGGTGATCGATGCCTACAGCCATGGGCAGCGCAGCTTCGGGGAGAACTACGTGAGTTGGCTGGGCCCCACGGGTCTGCGAGTGGGGCCCCACGCGTGGGGAGATAGGCTTGGTTATAGCATCAGGCCCCTGGCCTTGTATTTATGAGGCGCACGTTAGTGCCAGGAACACCGTTCCAGACAGACCGTTCTTACGGTGCAGGCATGTCTGGTGTGGTTTTAACAAGAGATTTTCTTGAATTCTCCTAGGTTCAAGAGTTGCTAGAAAAGGCATCAGACTCCAGAGTAAGTATGCAGTTCCTTATATATTCTCTCTTCTTGTATAGCTGTGTCCTGAGAGCTGTTCAGCAAAAGTCTTGGGTTTTGTTAGGGAATTGGTGACGGAGGCTGTTTGATCCTCGTCTTTTCAGATAAATGGTGGGGTTATTCTTAGCTCTTTGCCTCTGCCCCGTTCCCCCTCCTTGCCTCACTGGCTCCAGAGGATTCTGTGAATACATGCACCTTATTCATATAGTATTTAATTGAACAGTACTTTACCTTTTGTGCTTTCTGCTGTAGGAGATGTGCAGTCCTCCTTTAAAAAAAAATTGTAACATTCAGTTTGGAGAAAACACATCATTTTATGATTGTTACAATTTTATGATTTTACATTTTTATGATTGTTACGAAAGAGCTTTGCCTTCCCCATTCATCTTTTAGTGCCCTGCAGCCACAGCCCTGTTCGTCTCCAGACTTTGAAGCAATCTTAGTACACACCACAAGCACTGCCTGAGCTGTGTCTTTCAGGGTAAACAAAAGAAGATCGGGTGTCTGCTATTTTGTTTGTGGGCAAACTAAGACTTAAGTACTGTGTGGGGAAGAGGGAATTGTCATTCAAACCTAACTGTTCCTCTGCTTTCAGATTCTATCATCTTGTCCGGAGATTAAGTGGCATTTTATTGGCCATCTGCAGAAAAATAATGTCAACAAGTTGATCGGTAAACTTTCTTTAATTTTATGTGCAGTGACCCTGTGGTCAGTAGTCTTCCAATGTTCAAACAGTAACGACCTCATGTACATTAACTCACCCATGCCTGTCTCTGTGAGCGACCTGAGTTGTAGGTACAAAAATTTCTGTGCCAGCAGAATTGCCCTCAGCCTGTGTTTTCCCCCCAGCTGTCCCTAACCTGTTCATGTTGGAAACGGTAGATTCTGTGAAACTGGCAGACAGAGTCAACAGCTCATGGCAGAAAAAAGGGTCGTCCCAGAAGCTGAAGGTCATGGTGCAAGTTAACACAAGTGGAGAAGACAGTAAGTGGCTTTTTCTGATGATATGCAGGTTTGTCCTGCTGGCTTGGCAGAAACAACCTGAATGGGATGGGTTGGTTTGCGCTCTTAAAGCATTTCTCTAAGCTAAGATGAAACTTGATCATCTGTTGGCTTCTGCCTGGCTGCAGGGAGGGGAGGTCTCTGGCAGAGCTTGGCACAGATCTCCCCGCTTTTTGCCAGGTAAGCATGGCCTTCCTCCTGGAGACACCACGGCTGCTGTGGAGCATGTCATCAACAAGTGTCCAAGCCTGGAATTTGTGGGGCTGATGACGATCGGCAGCATTGGGCATGACCTTAGTAAGGGGCCAAATCCTGACTTCCAGGTAAGATTTTCTAGAGGAAAATGTCAGCTGTTGGCTGGCCTCCCGTTACAGTCTGTTATCTGTCCCAGCCAAACCAGTACGCAGTCAAGCTGTAAGTCTGACTGTAGATTGTCAGTAGAAACACCTTGTTCAGAGTAGTACAGCCCTCTGAAGTGTTAGGTGTTAGGCTCACTTCTGCAGAGGCCAGGTACCCATATGTATGCGGTCCCATCCCTTCTCTGAAGCTGTAGCCAGGATATTGGTAGGGGCACCTTGTGCAGAAATTGCTGTCCTGGATCCTCTGCTTTCAGACAAGGTTTCAGTCAGCCTTTCTTTGCACACTGTGTGCATCAGGCAGAGGAACTGGGTCTGCGTTCCTCATCTGTCATGCTAGTGTGATAATTGGATGTTTTCAGAAGATGTGTAGACTTGTAAGTACGTGTGTTGTCAGTAACGTAGCCTGTAACGGGAGATCTCCAGGTGCTGTTACAATGCTGCAGAGCAAGCTTCAGTGGGAAGTGTGGGAATTTCATGTTCTGTGTGAAGGAGACTTCAAAGAAAGGCAGAAATTGTGATCTGTGAAACTGATGAGCTGGCATGGCTGTCAAGTGCGTGATCCTCTCTAATCCTCCTCCCTTCTAGATGCTGCTATCTTTGCGGCAGGAAGTGTGTGAAAAGCTGAATCTCCCCATTGAGAAGGTGGAGCTGAGCATGGGCATGTCCACAGACTTCCAGCACGCAGTAAGTCTGGTTTCCTTCTCCCACCCCTTCTCTCGGGAGCCCAGCGTACCAGCACCAGCAGTAGGCAAAGTTCAGCCCAGGCGTCATCCAAACGGGCCTCTTAGGCCTCCCCTTGGATGGAGATACTGATGGTGCTGTTCCATGAAAAACAGCTCTCCTGGTCTTTGGGATAGAGTTCTGGGGATCAAAACAGACCCTAGCTGTAGCTGTGGATGGCGAGTGCGTGGGGAACCGTCCTTCTGTGACACGGCGAGCGTTGAGTTTGGTTATGGACTGTGTTGGCAGGTGTGGGTGGCAGCCCTGCCCTGAACTCCTCCTTTCTGTCTCTTTGTAGATAGAGGTTGGATCCACAAACGTCAGGATTGGAAGCACTATTTTTGGAGAGCGAGATTATTCCAACAAAGCAGTTGGTGGCAAGGCCCCTGCTGAAACTAAAGGCAAAACGGAGACCTTGACAGCGCAGGGTCATTAGATGGAAAAAAAAGTGGCCTCGACAGAGGACAGATGATGGGAGACCTCACTATGCATTCTTACCTCCCTCCGTGTTGGCACCCTATCATGATGGTGAGAGGGAATTCCTCCTAACAGAACAGAGGCCAGAAATGCCTCATAATTTATTGTGATTATAGAGTACCCATAGAAACTGGAAATTTTTATAATCAACAAATGATAAGAAAATTTATGGTTGAAAGTGACCGTGGTATCTTGGCTCCTTCAGGGTCATTAAGAACAGTGACTTTTGGATGACTAGGTTTAACAAACTAAATATTTGTCAGGATGGAGTTGCTAATGAGCAAGATGTGTCTGCAGCAGTGTCAGTGATTATGTTTTCACTGAGGACTAAATTCTTCATTAAACAAGTTATAATCTTGCCAGAGACCTATAAATGTTTCCCCAAATAAAAGTTTTGCACGTCATCACTATTGAGGGATGCTTCATAGAAACTGTGGTGGAGACATACTGTGACACTGGAGAGACTATATCCATTTAAACAACGATGAGTAACAAGCACTCAAGGATAAGGAACACAGTTGCCAGCATGAGTTCATGGCGTAATGTTTTGGATGCAAATTGCGAGTGTGGGAGTGTCTTTTCAGCTGAAGTTTGTTTGTCCTTTTCAGGCTGACACTGCTAACTTTTCCCATTGGTTCCATGTCTGCTGAGATCTGGGATGCTTTCAACCTTCCCCTTCCCCTCTTGTGAAGTGTTGTTGGGAGTTATTTTCATACTGGGTAGTAGTTCTTGACGCTCTTAAGTTCTTTTTGGTCAGAATGGGGCTTTTTTGCAAGGTCCCTGGTCTGCCATCAGCTTGCTGTTGCTTTCCAAGGCAAGTCACTTACCGTTTGGTGGCCTCCACCATCCCGTCTACATCTGTATGAGGGTAATAATGCTTGCTTGTCTCACAGCAAGCTAGAGGTTTGCTAGAGGCCCTTCAAGAAAAGTACTTCAGAAAGTACGTATTATTATTCCAGTGTGTTCTAGGTTCTTGAAAAAAAATCCAGTTGCCCCTGACAGAGCTTCTAGGTGATGTCTTAATATCTTAAGCGCTGGTCTAGCCTTCACTTCTCCTGGAAGAGGGAAACGACTCTTTCAGTGCAGTAACTCTTTCATTCAGATACGAGCAGAAGCTCCTGCATTGTCACGTGCTATTTGGCCAGCGGCAGCCACGGCAAGTCTCTCTCGTAACCTGTGTTACAACTAGATTTGGGGGCTTTTGTGTGCTGCTAAGAGGAGGAGACATGGGTTGCCAGCAGAAACATCCTTCCCAGGCTTTTCTCTGTGTGCGTGTGGTTAAATCTAGCTGTTGGTTTTACACTCTGACTATAAATGCTGAATGTAAATGAAGAGAGTCAGCTCTAACACCAACCTGTCATAGCTACATGGTTTAGAAGCAACATGCAGTCTGAGCTGCCCTCCTCGGCACTGCGCCATGTGTTGTTTCATAGTCTACTAATAAAAAGTGGTGAATTTTAATACCATCTGTGCCAACTATAAAGCTATTAAAGATGTTATTTTTATGTTCTAGCGTTGTGAATAAATGCCCTGAGTTGTCGTTGAAGCTATTTCCCTAACCTGGAGCTGCTGTTGAGCGAGACTTGCTTGTCTCGGGATGGAGGGAGGAGGGTGGTTTGAAAGACAGCTGAAACAGAGCTGGCAAAGAAAGTGAAGCTTTCTTTGATCAGAAGGGAAAAAAAATAGCTGCGGAGTTGGGCGAGATGGCAGCTGGCGTGAGCTATTTCTGGAGAAGGCCTCTGGGTGGCACTGCTCCCCAGGTGCGGGGCAGTGCTCCGAGTCCGCCGAAGGAGGGACAACGGCGGGCAGGTACGGATCCGTAAGGAGTCTCAAAAATAACTGTATTTTCCATCTGATGGTAGAAGTGAGTCCCTTCCTCTTCCACCTCTTTCTTCCCACAGTTTCAGCACCACGCACTGACCGCAGATCCTCGTGTTGGCAAGTTTCACAACATTGAAAGCCTTTTGTTTGTTTTACAAAACCAAGGCAGGACGCCCGTTCTCTACCTGAATTTGATTCAAATGTGCCAAGACTGCCGGTGTCCCTGCAGTGTTTGTGTGCTACTTGTACAATGTCGGCTAGAGCTCTCCGCAGCAAACGAGGAACAAAAGTGATCTGCCACCTGAGCTTACAGAGCTAGCCCAGCCCTGGTGCTGGCAGTTCTGAGCCTGAGGGGGTGATTGGGGACCCCCTGCTCCCCTCACCCCTCGCCAATGGCCCTTTCCCGCAAGCCTGCAGCTCCAAAACCAGCTGCGCTGCCCCAGTTCTTTCTGTTCGAGCACAGAACAGCGGGGTGGGTTTACGTTGAGAATTTTCTTGCGCTGTGGCTCACGTACCCTCTCGCTTTTCCTCTCTCGGGCGTTTTGTGCTTATTTCCCGAGTTGAAACTGGATGCTAGCCAAGCTTAATGAAGTAGTAAATGGTGTAAACTGGGAGGTGGGTGTGCACGGGTGGCTGTGGGGCAGGGCAAGGCTTGTCCTGGCTTCTGTGCCCTGGAGCTCTGACTCCACAGCGGTATTTAAGGAGCAGACCGGCTCACAAAAGCATGTGGTCTTCTGCTTTTCTGATCTGCCTGCGTACTGCCTGCTAAAACGTTTAGGGCTCTGTCAGCTTTGGTGGTGGCAGAGCTGTGCACGTCTCGGTGGTTCTGGAGAGCCGTGCCGCATGGCGCTGGGGATGCTCTCAGCTGTGGGACACCTCTCTCCCGTCCAGCCGGGTTGTGTCCGGGCCGCGCAGGTGGCCTGCGGGGAGTAGCTTGTGCCTGAACAGCAGCACCGGCTGCAGCTGCGGGGGCCGGGGTTGGGCTGCGACAAGGCACAGGAGAGGAGAGGAGAGCAGCGTGAGCTTCTGCTCCCTTCCTCTGCAGCTGTTTCTCTCACCCATCCTGCATCCGACAGGCTTTTTTCTTCCGACTGCGTCATGCCCGAAAGCTTTGCTGTGCTCCTCTGGCCGAGCGTCCCCAAGCCCGTGCAGCGGGCAGTGCCTGCCGGCGCCTTCTGTTCCTCCTTGAGGCACGCAGCTCGAGCCCGAGCCGGGAGGGTGCGGAGCTGCGGTGTCGGTGATGCCGGACACCTGTCCGGGGGGAGCGGGGTGCAGACCACCCACTCCTTCCGCGGAGGTCACCCGGCAGATGGTAACTGTTGGTCACTGGAGTGGAGCCAACGAGCTGGAGATGAAAGGCTCCCTGGCCTCTTAATGAACCACTCCCCGCTCAGGCACCTCGGCCCCCTGCAACACAAGCTTTATTTACATCTATTAAAAGCACTTGGCCGGTTTATTGAAGCAGCAGTGCTCTTGCTCCCCGCTCCTCGGGGCAATGTCACTGTCAATATTTGCCTTGGAGAAATGCATCCAGCAGACGAAGGCTTGTTTTGCGGCCAGAGGGACGACTCCTCCCCCGTGACTTGCAGCCCTTGCTGCTGGCCGATGGCGCGGGCGCCGTCACCTCCCGGAGCAAAGGCACGGCCCCGGCTTTCCCAGCAGTCCCCTGAGGTGACACTCATTTCCACGCTGTCCCTTGGATGGGGGGGCTGGCTAGGCTGACCATGGCGAGGCGCCCCCCCCAGAGGCGTGCCGGTGTGTGGAGCAGGACTTCACATGCGCTATGGAGAAAAACTCTTCCCGGGGGCTTGGGGAGCAACTTGGGCAGACTTGGCTGCCTCTAAAAGGAATAAAAGTGTCGATTATGCTGGATGGGGTGATGTGGTGCTGCTTCTCCTTTCCTGGCTCCTGGGGAGGTGGGCTGGCCATGTGAGGCCATCCTCAACCTCAGGGAAGCACCGGTGCCGGAGCAGCAGCTCTCCGCTTAGAGGCACCCTCTGAAGTCACTGAGCTCCGCAGGCTCCGGTTACCCATTAGGTGAGAGTCCAGGCATCGTTCACTCCCCTTCCTCCACAAAGCCAGGCTTGATTTATTTTTTATCAGATAATATCCTTTGTGTTGCAAAGTGTCTGGAGCCGAGCTTGGCCTCCCTGCCAAATCGCAGCGCAAGCTGGGTGTGCGGTGCACGCAGCAGATGTGCAGGGAGGCGGTGGGTGCCGAGCCCAGATCTGCGAGCGGAGGGGCTCGGAGGGAGACGAAAGTGTCTGCTCCCCGATGCGTGGCACTAGGTGCTGTAGCCAGGCTTGGTCCTGGTGCCCCGCACCCCACCCTCGTCCGGCAGGGGCGC